TTGTTTGTACTACTTCTATAGTAACCAAATCTGCTAATCCATAGTTTTTGGTTGTGACTAAATTATTGAGATTGATACTGCAATGCATAGAGAAGCTGGATTATGGAGAAAGCTAGGACATTCCAGAAAAACATCTACTTCTACTTCATTGACTATGCTAAAGCCTTTGATTGTGTGGATCACAACAAATTGTGGCAAGTTCTTAAAGACATGGGAGTACCAGACCATCTTATTTGTCTCTTGAGAAACCTATATGCGGATCAAGAAGCAACAGTGAGAACTGGACACGGAACCACTGATCGGTTCAAAATTGGGAAAGGAGTCCGGCAAGGCTGTATACTGTCACCCTGCCTATTTAACTTATATGCAGAGCACATCATGAGAAAGGCATGGCTAGATGAATCAAAAGTTGGAATTAAGATTGCCGGGAGAAATATCAACAGCCTAAGATATGCAGATGATACCACTCTAATGGCAGAAAGTGAAGAGGAACTAAAGAGCCTCTTGATGCGGGTAAAGAAAGAGAGTGCAAAAGTTGGCTTGAAACTCAACATTAAGAAAACCAAGATCATGGCAGCCAGCCCTCTCAATTCCTGGCAAATAGATGGGGAAGAAATGGAGGCAGTGACAGATTTTATCTTCCTAGGCTCCACGATCACTACAGATGGGGACTACAGCCAAGAAATTAAAAGATGCTTGCTCCTGAAAAGGAAAGCTATGGCAAATCTAGACAGCATACTAAAATGCAGAGACATCACCCTGCCAACAAAAGTACGTATAGTCAAGGCTATGGTTTACCTAGTTGCAATGTATGGCTGTGAAAGTTGGACCATAAGAAAGGCTGAGCGCAAAAGAATTGAGGCCTTTGAACTATGGTACTGGAGAAGAGTTCTGTGAATCCCCTAGACTTCAAGGCAATCAAACCAGTCTGTCCTAGAGGAGATCAACCCTGACTGCTCTTTAGAAGGCCAGATCCTGAAGTTGAAACTCCAGTACTTTGGCCACCTAATGAGAAGGAAGGACTCACCGTTGAAGAGCCTAATGCTGGGAAAGATTGAGGGCAATAGAAGAAAGGGACAACAGAGAATGAGGTGGCTGGATGGAGTCACTGAAGCAGTAGGTGTGAGCTTAAATGGACTCTGATGCAAACCAATTATCTTCTATTTGTAATGTAATGTCAAATGTATATCCCAAAGGACAGAGCTTGACACCTTTTTTCAGCATTGTGTCATAAACAGTGAGAACTTACAAAACTCTGACATTGGTAAAGATAGAAGGATAGAAGACCTATAAGAATGGTCCACTGCAGCTGTGTGATCCAGATATTTTTTTATACACATTTTATTGTTGTTTTTTTTACATCAAAGTGCTCAGGAAAGCACCGTGGTGAAAGAGTAATCAATCATGGCAAAACAAGTCATATATATATATAACTAAAATTAATACCTTAAAAATTCCCCCCTCTATTTCCCTACATGATATAACAAATTTAGTTTAATCTATTTCTTCTTAAAATTCACTCAATCCACAGAATCAACCCTACTATTACATCTATATAAATCACTCCTGCTTTTAAGCTATACTAATTTCAGTTAACATATTCCAATTAATCTTAATCAAACATATTAATAAAACTTCAGGTATCCCTTCTACAACACACATAATATTCCAAGAATAACATTCTAATATTTTCACATATATCCCATCTCTTAATTTAATATATCATTAATTAATAGCCTTTCTTTTCTTATCATAGATGTCTCTAATTCTTCTGCTATTACAAAATAGTTTTCTATATAAACAGAGTAAAAAAACAAAAAAAGAATCATTTCAACCTGTTAAGTAAAATTCAAATCTCAACCAACTTAACTATCGTATCTAAGACAAACATATTATTACACCAATTATTATCTTACTGCTTTCATTTACTCAATTAAATTGTCACATCAGTCCAAATCTCTAAAGCCTTTTTGACCCAATAATTAAGATTTTAAATCATATTTTTAAATCTAACTCTGGCTTTTTTTCTATACCAAGCTGGTTTCCGTAATGTCGCATCTATGTCATCAAATCTCAGTATTTGTGTACTAATGTTTATCAACAAATCATCTGATCAAAATTCTCTTCCCCTTCTTCCAGTATCATGTAAGCAATATAGTCCATTTTATTCCATATTATAATTTCAGCTTGATTATCCAGGTTGTCATAACTTTCAATCGATTGCGTCTGGCTGTCAATTCCTGTTAATTTTACCAATGGGAGTACTTCACTTATAGTCATTTTTTGATCTTCAAAGTTCTCCACCATTTGTACATAGACTTGTGAAATATCTTCCTCTGTAGTAATTAGTTGATTTATAGAGTAGTCATTTAAAGTCTCAATCTGGAATTTTGGGTCCAGAATTTTTCTAAAGTTCAATTGATCAGTGAGTTCTTCCATCTCAAATTGTGTACACTGTTGCATATAAGCTTCTTCTTGGCCTGTAGATTGGTCTTTTAAAATTTGAGGCTCAGCTTGTGATTCTACAAGATGATCTTTAGTTTTTCTCCATGACTTCATCTCCTCTGTCATTTCCAATATTTTTTCCAATATCAGCTCATAATCCAGTCTAGAATTCAGTTGATCAGTAAATTCTTCTTCCATCTCAGATTGTGTACACTGTTGCATATAGGCTTCTTCTTGGCCTATAGGTTGATCTTTTAAAGTTTGAGGCTCAGCTTGTGGTTCTGCAAAATAATCTTTAGTTTTTCTCCATGACTTCATCTTCTCTGTCATTTCCAATATTTTTTCCAATATCAGCTCATAGTCAAGCTGTGGGTAAAAGTCTTCTATTTCCATAGTAAAAGTGTCTTTTAATCTTTTTGTGGAAACTATATTTATTAAGAGTCCATATACATCCGCATCCACAATTTTTAAATCACAAACACAACCCACAGCTGTTTCCAAGCCTTTATCTTTTCTTCTTGTTAATTTCTGAAGGTCAAAACCATCTTCAAACACCAAAGCAAAAACATTATAATTGCAGTAAATATTTTCGCCACAAGATGTCCTCAGTAAGCTATAGAAGTTTTTTTCTTTGCATTAAGAATGACAAAGAAAGAGACAGAAAGAAGCAAATATCTTCAGTATAGTAAGTAGAATAATGCTCTATATTACAAATCTTTCCAGGGATGCCCCAAATCCAAAAAGTTCAAAATATAATAAGTGCTATTCTGTATTTTCCCCCCAAACAGACACATGCCGCTTTCTTAGAACAGGGAAGTGATCCAAAAAGCAAGCTCTTTGCAGGAAAAGTAGTTCAGACAAATAGTCAGGATGGAGAGAGTGAGGAAAAGTTTCGTCCAGATTCACCACGGTGGTTCTTTATGCTTAGATGATTTTCTGACTTCAGATGGCACAGCAAAGTGATCGGCCATTTTACTGGCCGATCTTCTTCTCCGTCGGTCCTATGGAGTTAGCTCGATCTGTAGGGGGAGCTGCCACTCCACCCACATAAGGATCTACCGGTGGAGAGAAAACAGCCAACAAAGAGCTGTTTGGCTGAGCCTGCTGTGAACCAGAAGTGGAACTCAGTGATCCAGATAATTTTTTTACTGTAATTGGAGATTTGTCCATTTATGTGGTGGGCAATTCTTCCACAAATCTGATTGTGGAGACACCAAGATTGTTGGATAAATTGTTACAAAACAGCCTTCATCAAACCCTCAATCTCTTTTTAAAGAGCTCTAGAAAATAAACAAGATAAGAATTATCTAGAGTGATGGTAGCACAAAACAAAGAGCAATTTAGATCAATCACAGATTTCTTTCCTTGCCCGGCCTAAATTACAGTGAAACATGCTTAGTTTTCTACTTTTATTACATTATCAAGATAACTCTTTCATTGTTGAAAGTTTCTTTGCAGAGAAAATAGCTTATATTTGTTCAGAGATTGATTATCAAAGTTTAACATGATGACTGTTTATTTAACTATTTGGTTTTGCTGATCCTGTGGAAGCTGAGGAAACAGATTATCTGTTGTATGTGTGATCTGGATTCATATTCTTTCTGGCTACTGTACTTAGCCATCTGATAGAGGCATCATGTGGCAGAAATTGGGATGTGCTATTTAGCCGTGAATGAGGCAGATATGAACATTCTCCTGAATAAAATTCACTTTGTTACAAATCTTTCCTTTCTGGGAAAAATGCTAGATAATATGGGATGGAATCAGCTGATCCTAGATGAAGTAGATTATCTAAATTCTTTCCTTTCTAGATTCAGGTCTAAACATGAAAGATAAGCAGGTCTGATTCCTCTAGTGCATGGGTATCAAACTTGTAATGTCACGTGACGTGTCGTGACATATCGTGACTTTTTCCCATTGCCAGTAATGGGATGGGAGCGGTTTTGGCATGATGCATCCAGCCTGTGGGCTGACAGTTTGACATCCCTGCTCTAGTAGTTATCTTACCTCAAATTCTGAAGTATGGGAATATGTCCTTTAGGCCTTTGAGCTGTATTTGATTCCATGACCATCCTATACTGTTGAATCACCAGTAGGGGTTGAGAATCAAGGCATATTTACAGCAGCTAGGCTCTTATTTTAGTGGACAGTCCCTGTAGAACAGGGAAAAGAGCAGTCAAGCACACAGCTTCTCCAATATGGGATACCATAACATTTAGTTATCTCTTTTGCTGTAGAAAGCTGCAAAAAAGGCTATCTGTCAATTTGAGATGAGCAATATGGTATCATCAGTTTGTTTGCTTTTAATCCTATATTATAAACCACTCTGTGTTTCAAGAAATGGGCATTATATAAAGATGTGTGTGAATGTACACACACACATAAGTGCATACAGTACATTGGGTAACTAGCATTTATCCTAGAAATCAGTTGAAGTTAATATATTTGTTCAGTTATTCTAACTAAATTTATATCTTTTTAGATGGAAATCTATAGGGAATCAGTTATGCATTCAGATCATACATTTTTTTTATTTTTTCCCCCACTTATTTCAGATTACCTACAAGGCTGTTGGATCTCTAGATCCTACTGCTGACTTGTTGAACCAGAGAGGAAAAGTCTTCAAATTAAGGAATGAAACTCACCACCTCTTTGTAGGGTTATACCCAGGAACTACCTATTCATTCACCATTAAAGCCAGCACAGTAAAGGGTTTTGGACCTCCCATCACCACACGGATTGCAACTAAAATTTCAGGTATTACTATTAAGGGGGAAATGGCATGCTGAGAAAATTCAGTTTTGACTTTGAATTTGGTTGGTAGAGGAAAAATAATTAGCATTCTATCAAAGTTAAAGCAATTAGCATCTTGGGCTACATTTTTTAAAATGTGCCTAGGAGGAAAATAACTTGTCATAAAACAGTGATACAATCCTGTCATTTAACATCATGCACTCTAATAAGTAATAAGACATAGTGGATGGGGCTTTTCATTTTGTTTTATTTCCAGTTAAGCATTGCTTTATGAATCCATTTAATTTTAAATAGCTCAGAAATTGATCTATAATGATTCAAAACATTCCCTTCATCACTAAGCTTTATGCAGTCCAACTTTTAATCTGCAGATGCACCTAGCAACAAAAAATATCTATAATTTATAACTGTTAGTCTCCATTGTGCATTTATTTAAAATATTTTCATATTCACATATAAAGAAATTGTAGAACTAACAAGATACAACACATTGTTTCTTTTGCTTTAATACAAATAAGGATCAATATTTATTCATTTAAATTTTGAAATCATTAATACACAATGTTGAGATTTCAAGAAATGAGCTTAATTTCTTTTGTTTACTTTATACTTTATGCTAAAACATAATATGATTTATTTTGGGCTTAGGTCAATGCCTGAAAGGGGTCTGCTCACACAGACTGTTGTGTTGCTTTAGAAACAGTCCCTTGTAGAAGGTAGCTGTAAGTTAAAATCTGAAATTGGAAGGAGAGCAAGAGATATTTAATCAAACATAAAGGAACATGGAGAGAAAAATAGCAAGAAAATCAGTTCTTCCTAATTAGGTTAAAAATTCCACCAAATGTTCACTGCTACAAAAGAACAAATAGTATCAAAAAGCATTTTGTATTTGATTGCCTTCTACTTGTTGATTTCCAGAAACATAAATCTTTCTGTTGTTCCACAGCCCCATCAATGCCAGAATATGATTCTGACACCCCTCTGAATGAAACAGAGACCACCATTACAATCATGCTGAAGCCTGCACAGTCTCGTGGTGCACCGGTCAGGTAACTTTTTTTTCTATCCTTGTTTAGTCTCCTTCTTTTTCAAAAATGTCATGACATGTGTCATTCCATATTTCTAGATTATAAAGAGGAAGAATTATAACAAAACAAAGAAAGCAACCATAACACCAGTACTTCAGAGAAAGATACAGAGCAAATATCTCTAAAAATAAAATGCTGAGATTGATGGTGATTGCACCGTTGTGCAAAAGACTATGTTCTCTGGGGCATAAAAATCTGAAAGAATTCCCCAAAGGTTCCTCTGAGAGCTAATTTAGGCATTTTGGTCTCTCTGGATTTCACAGCAGAATGAATGCTAGCATCAAGCTATGTCTGCTAGTATTCATTTTTCCCTATCAAAAAGTTCCACACACAAAATATGCACATAAAAAGTGTAATTAAAAGTTGTGGGCAAAAAGCTGTGAATTAACCTTGAAGAGACACTTAACTTTGAGTTTTGATGAATTGGTCCTTCAAAGCATTGCTATGTAGTTATACCCTGTTTTTGAAAGTTATAGTTGAGAAGCTACCCTTTTTAGTTTTGACCAATTAAAATTATCCACAAATAATTAGTCTGTGACGTGGTCCCTATATGGGGGAGAGAGTCAGAGGAATAGGTGAACTTACACAGTGCCACTCTGAAAGCTATTTAAGGCATCCATAAGATACAACCACTCAGATCTGCTCTGAGTTATATTCCAGTTGTATGGGTGTTTTAGACCTATTGTGGACACAATCTGTTTTGGTTATCAAGAAACGCTGTTAGTCCTTTTTAGGCAAGATGGTTGATAAGTTTGCAATTTCAGAAGATCCAGGAATAAACAGATTATATGGATTTTTTCAGATTGTTTTCTGACTGGGATATAGTACTGAGATAATATTGATCACCTTTGTAGAAGATCTTTAGTAAGTTTACTGGGATGGGGGTTGTGTATCTAACCTGTCCTCTATTCTCTAAGTGGCCTTCAAAACACAGTATCCTTCTGTAGTAGCTTTGAAATGAGGTGCATGATGTTATAGTCCTGTCCACCTCATCAGAACTGACTGTGGGTGATACTCAACAATCAAATTAAATCACAATATTAAAACACCATTATAAAAACAATCATTATAAATGCACACAATCAATATTAAAATAATTAAAAATGAAAATATACAAACCACAAATAGGGGAAAAAACATAGTAACCATATATTACCCACAATAAGGGAGCCACTTTAAAATGTTACCTTGGACCTCCAAACCTGATGACTTAACCAGGTCTTGACAGATTTCATGAACATTAACAAGGATGGAAGCCCTTCATGGCACAGAGTCTGGAAATATGCTTTCTTGGTTGTAGCTTCTGTCTTTTTGAACAACATATCCCACAAGATTTGCCCAGCCTCCAAAACCATCTTGTAGATCTCTATAAGGTTTTTGGTTTTCATCTAGCCATTAAGACCAAACACTGAATAAGCCCACCCTGAAATTATTTGGGAAATACTTGAAGATTGATTGCAGTTTGGCCTCAGTTGTGTTTTATATAGTTTTTATGGGGTTTTTTTGTGATTTCAATCCTATGTAAACCACTTAGGGTCAAAATTTAGAGCTAGACAGCCTTATATGTAAGATGGATGGATGGATGGATGACATTCTTTTTCATCAGCTGGTGACAATTTGAAGAAGAAAGGCAGCAACATTGGAGGACTCAGTCTCTTGCATAACACAAGTTGCACATGTATAATCAGCATTACTACTCACTGATGACAGAAGAGATGCACCAGAGGCAAATAGAAAGCAACAAGGGACAGCAACTGTCATGTCACAGTAGTTTTTTGCAGCCTAAAAGATGGTGAAAGGCACTCTAAATAAGCAATGAAGTCTTTATCTGTTCTAACACCAGGTTATAAAATTAATGGTGTAGCTGCTACAACAACTATTTCTAGTTTCTTAATTGACCTAATACAAAATATTCACTTATCAGTAATAAAGCTCTTATCTTGTTTAACTAATGAAAGGTACACTAATACTTCAGTTGTCAGCTGTAATTCAGTTAACATATATATGTTTTACATCTAAGATGCTGGTTCCAGAATGCCTCTAATAACCTATCCTTCAAATTTTATCTCAGGTCAATATATGCATGTTTATGATTGGTAAATATTGGGAAACCTCTTCTATGACAATAGCCCAAATATTTACAAAATTTCTATATATATCTTCACCCAAAAATTAATTATATATTTTCAACTCATCAGTAATATTATGCATTGGTTGAAATCAATATTTCATTTTAAAATGAGGGAAGATGCTTGTTTGAGATAAGAGGGAGAAAATAAATGAACAAGCTTGGTTGACCTAAAAAAAAGTGCAGAGAAGAGCAACAAAGATTACCAGGGGCCTGGAGGCTAAAACATATGAAGAACAGTTCCAGGAATTGGGTACGTCTAGTTTAATGAAAAGAAGGAATAGGAGTGACATGATAGCAGTGTTCCAATATCTGAGGGACTGCCACAAGGAAGATGCTCCAAAACACCTGAGGACAGGACAAGAAGCAATGGATGGAAACTAATCAAAGAGAGAACCAGCCTATAACTAAGGAGAAATTTCCTGACAGATAGAACAATCAGTGAAATGAAGTTGTGGGTGCTCCAACATTGGAGATTTTTAAGAAGAGATTGGACAACCATTTGTCTGAAATGATATAAGGTTTCCTGCTCAAGCAGGAAAGGTCCCCTTCCAACTCTGTTATTTTGTTATTCTGAACCCAAGTGATTCATTATGTATAAGTCTGTAGGAATTCACATCAAGCACCAGAATATGCATTTCTTATTAAGATAACAGTAGCTTTTCCTATTTAAGAAGATACTCAGTAACATTTAAACATTTCAGATTCTTAATATAAAGGAAGATATTTAATCAAGTGATTATCACTTTCCCAGTGAAATTATCAGATTTAATGTGGATAATTTAACTGTGCCTCAATAAGACCTCATGCAAATCCCACAGGATTCAAACCTCTAAACTGAAGTGTTTATATTAGAAATACTGTTGATATTTCAAATCAGAATTATGTGTGACTCCCAAATTGACTTCCTGTCATATCTACGTAAAACAAAAGCATTTCTTGCTTCTGAGGAATACTTAAAAACAAATGTATTTCCATACTATTCATCCAAGTATTGGCTAAGATGATGGAAAATAATTATTCAATTATTTTGAAATATGAAAGAAGAAAGCTTATTTTATCACTGGACTCTGTCATTTTTATTAAAACTAACATATTATTTTGTGTTTATATTGTGTTTGTTTTTTTCTATTAGCAAACTATATATGGTGAACTATATATGTTGTTGAAGACCAGAACATGCTATATTATATATCATATATCTTTCTTTTCTAATTCTGTTCTATTTTGTGATTTAAATTTTGCTTTTGCTTTTTTTTATTGGACAGTTTTAAAACCAAAAACCAAAATTAAGGTCCCTCCTGTAAATCAATAAGCATCTATTAGAAACCAAGTCTATGTGAAAATCTTTCTGAAAACCTTGTTCCTTTATAGTATCATCTGTAAAAATAATTGAAATGTCAGTGCAGATGTCTTCATACAAATACATACAAACATCCAATATGTGAGGTCTATTACAATGATTGTTTTTTTTCTCACATAAGTAGATTCAATTACAAAGTCAACATGAGCTTTTCCTTTCCCCTGATTTCTCCCCAAATTGGGTTTCACACGCTCTTTCATTAAATCCACTTTCTATTCATTCTGTTGGGAAATCTGTTGATCTGCTAATATTGAAACTGCTAATCTGTACCCTTATTTTCTCCTCCCTTCCTCTCTCCCTCCCTCCCTCCCTTCCTCCCTCTCCTTCCTTCCTTCCTTCCTTCCTTCCTTCCTTCCTTCCTTCCTTCCTTCCTTCCTTCCTTCCTTCCTTCCTTCCTTCCACAAAATGTATGAAACATTCAGAACCCTCCCAGTTTCTCATCATAAAAGCTTAAAGCTTGGTCATGTTTTGTATTCATTGCTTTCCTATGTATACATATGAAGTGATTAAAACAAATTTTCAAAACATTTTTTCTATGTGGATTCTGTCCAAACACATTCAGTTTTAGGTCTCAAAATAGCTCTTGTCCCATTTTGACTTATTCATTCACCTTACATAACAGATTAATATATTTCCCTGGATTGCATTCATGCAGATGAATACAGAAGAGAGATCTTCTAATCCAATCCACTGCTTAAGCAGGAGACCCTATATACCATTTCAAATGGTTGTCCAATCTCTTCTTTAAAACCTTCAGAGATGGAGCACCCACAACTTCTGGAGACAACTCGTTCCACTGACTAATTGTTTTAACAATCAGGAAATTTCTTCTTAGTTCCAGTTGGTTCTCTCATCCATTGCTGTAAATTTTTTTCCCAAAATATATTCTGTCATTTGATTTTTCAACTATAATTATTCACTAGAATGTAACATGCAACTATCATCCAAATATGTCTTTCTATTTTTCATATATAGCCACAATAACTCAGAAAACATCAATTCATACTTTCTGAGACATATTTCAGCCCTTTAATCCTTAATTAAATCCATTCTGTCATTTTACTTCATGTATTCATCAACATCATTCAACATGATCAGGCTTATTACATTCAGCTTATTACATCCTCTACTTTCTCCTACTTTCCAGACATAATTATACCTATTTTTTTTTGTATTTATTCATTTATGTTACTGACCATTTACGCCTCTTATATTTCAAGTCAAAATCTTCCCAATACTGAAAATCTGCTGAAAGATTTATATCTTAGCTGCCAATCATGACTTCGTCTGTTATGATTTGATTTAAAAAAAAAAGCTTTCTTACTAAGAAAGGTGTTCCTTATATTAGCAAACATATTCTTATCCTTCCACATGCAACATTTTTTTCTGATAATAACAATAGCACCATTTTCCTTTGGTAAATAGCCTCAAAATTCAGTTCCCACTAACTAGGAAGTATATGCAGTATAC